TCTCAGCTCACTGCAACTTCCACCTTCCAGGTTCAAGCGATTCTCCTGCCTCAGCCTCCCAAGTAGCTGGGATTACAGGCACGCGCCACCACACCTGGCCATCTTTTGTATTTTTGTTAGAGACGAGGTTTCACCATGTTGGCCAGGCTGGTCTTGAACTCCTCAGGTGATCCACCCACCTTGGTCTCCCAAAGTGCTGGGATTACAGGAGTGAGCCACTGCACCTGGCCTTGATTTTCTTTCTCATCAGTAAAATGAGGAATTAAAAATGTCCAGATCCTACATGATCCTAAAACCAGATTACTGTGAGACAAATGTTAAAATATTTAATATAAGATCTGTTTAGAAGTTAGGGTGAAATAGTATAAAAGGTTCTAGGCTTGGTGCAGTGGCTCCCGCCTGTAATCCTAGCACTTTGGGAGGCCCAGGCAGGTGGATCACCTGAGAGCAAGAGTTCGGGGCCAGCCTGGCCAACATGGGGAAGCCTCATGTCTACAAAAATTACAAAAATTAGTTGGGTTTGGTGGTGAGTGCCTGTAATCTCAGCTACTTGGAAGGCTGAAGCAGGAGAATTGCTTGAACCCAGGAAGCGGAGGTTGCAGTGAGCCAAGATTGTGCCATCGCACTCCAGCCTGGGCAACAGAGCAAAAACTTAATCTCAAAAATAAAATAAAATAAGGCCGGGCGTGGTGGCTCACACCTGTAATACCAGCATTTTGGGAGACCAAGGCAGGCAGATCACAAGGTCAGGAGTTCGAGACCAGCCTGGCCAACATAATGAAACCCCATCTCTACTATAAATACAAAAATCAGCTGGGCATGGTGGTTCGCGCCTGTAGTCCCAGCTACTTGGGAGGCTAAGGCAGAAGAACTGCTTGAACCTGGAAGGCAGAGGTTGCAGTGAGCCAAGATTGTGCCACTGTACTCCAGCCTGGGTGACAGAGCAAGACTCCATCTCAAAAAAAAAGAAAAAAAAGTAAGATTCACCTAACAGACCAACATACATCTGACAAATGAAAGCACATCAATCAATAGGAAAACTGCAGTAAATCTTAACAGCATCTTGCACTTGTTTTTTCCTATTCAGTTGCCTATTTGTGGCCGGGTGTATAGCTTCACAGCTGAACTACTTTAAAAGAACACCATATAGAAGTCTGTCTTTATTTGCAGCGATATATTCCAAGACCCTCCATGGATGCTAGAAACGATGGAGAGTATCAGACCCTATATAAACTATGATTTTTCCTATATATACATACATATGTACATATAACATTTAATTTATAAATTAAGCACAGTAAGAGATTAACAATAATAAAACAGAACAATTATAACATACTGTAATAAAAGTTATGTGAAGGTGGTGTCTCTCAAAATATCTTATTGTACTGTACTCACAGTCTTTTGGGACTGTTGGTTGACCACGGGTAACTGAAACCACAGAAAGTGAAACTGCAGATAAGTGGGAAGACCTACTGTGTACTCACTTTGCTCAGCACAATAATGCTTACTATTTATAAAGTAACTTTCATTTTCAAGGCACCTTACAAACATCAGTTAATTACTTGCCACACAATTCGCAAGTTAATTTTCATTAGTCCAATTAGGAGTGGACCAGATAAAACTGAAAGAGTGAACGTGGGCCCCTGAGGGAGGATTCAAGCCAGGGTGAGAACGGTGAGGCTGTGTATGATGCATCCTCACAGTTTTTATAGATGAGAAACAGCCCTCACCAGGAAAGCACTAAAACATTAGAAAAGGAAGAAATTGCCATTTCTGAACATCTTGCTGGAGCTTGCCAGTAAGAACCAAAATATATAAGGAAAGAGGTGAAGTATTATAAAGGCTTATTACCCCACCCCATCTACCAAAAAAGAAGTGAACAGTGAATGACTTCATTTTCACCAGAAAGATTTCTATTACTAAAATTCAAACGAAGTTTTGCTTTCTTCATGTTGTAGTTTTAAAGGATAAAATATTTTCTAGAATGAATTTTGGAGTGATAATACTCTAATTAGAATGCCTTCTCTTCCTATAGAGAACAGTTAAGTATGGCTGGGTGCAGTGGCTCATCCCTGTAATCCCAGCACTTTGGGAGGCCAAGGTAGGCAGATCACTTGAGGTGAAGTGTTCGAGACCAACCTGGCCAACATGGTGAAACCCTGTCTCTACTAAAAATACAAAAATTAGCTGGGTTAGCCAGGCATGGTGGCATGCACTTGTAATCCCAGCTACACGGGAGGCCGAGCCAGGACAATCGCTTGAACTGAGGATGCAGTGAGCCGAGACTGCATCACAGCATTCCATAGCGAAACTCTGTCTCCAAAACAACAAGTTAAGTATGTCCCTTTCAAATGAGAGAAAAATTTTAGACATCAAGAATTATCCAATAATTTGGCTGGGTGCAGTGGCTCACACCTGTAATCCCGGCACTTTGGGAGGCTGAGGTGGGCAGATCACCTGAGGTCAGGAGTTTGAGACCAGCCTGGCCAACATGGTGAAACCCCATCTCTACTAAAAATACAAAAAATTAGCCAGGCATAGTGGCAGGTGCCTGTAATCCTAGCTACTTGGGAAGCTGAGGCAAGAGAATTGCTTTAACCTGGGAGGCGGAGGTTGCAGTGAGCCAAGATCACATGATTGCACTCCAGCTTGGGTGACAAGAGTGAAACTCCATCTCAGGAAAAAAAAAAAAAAATTATCCAATAATCTAGGCTGTCACTACTTAAAAAAAATTATCCAATAAAAATTAATTTTTGTTATTGTCTTGTGCATTTGTTTTTTCTCAATGCTCCAAATGCTGCAAATGTACATGCAGAACCTTTACAAAAATAAATGTTATTTAAAAAACGAATCAATCTGCAGTTGTTTCAGTCCTTCTGATTTATGGTCTAGGAGAGGGAAAAGTTGGGTACAAAAGACTGGAAAATTTGTAATTTTAAAATAAGGTCCATTTGTATAAAACTGAAAGTATATCACTATTTTTTTTTAACCTGGAAGAGAAAGATACCTAATCTTAGTAAGTATCCATTCATAATAAAATTCAAAATAAAATTCCTTTTAGCAAAGGAATCATTATATTGGAAATTCCTTAGATTAAAATAGGTTTTCTACTTCCTTTGCATTTCTCTAGCATCTTAAACACACACACACACACACACACACAGCTCATTTCTCATTAACATAAGATGTAGATTACAGCATTTTACATTTAATATTTAAAAAATTACATCAAGTTTTAGCACATGTACGAGTAAATGCATGTTACAGAGTGCTCTTAGTGGTAAGTCATTTTATCAGTCCATTTCAGGTTGCTATAAAAGAATGTCTGAGACTGGGTAATTTACAAAGAAAAGAGGTTCTGGGCTGGGTGTGGTGGTTCACACCTGTAATCCCAGCACTTTGGGAGGCCACAGCAGATGGATCACTGGAGGTCAGGAGTTCGAGACCAGCCTGGCCAACATGGTTAAACCCGTCTCTATCAAAAATTAAAAAACTAGCTGCGTGTGGTGGTATGTGACTGTATGTAATGCCGGCTACTTAGGAGGTTGAGGCAGAAGAATCATTTGAACCTGGGAGGTGGAGGTTGCAGTGAGCTGAGGTCATGCCACTGCACTCCACCCTGGGCGACACAGCGAGACTCTGGTCTCAAAAAAAAAAAAAAAAAAAAAAGAGGTTCTGTAGGCTCTCTTAAAGAAAAGAGGTTCTGCAGGCTGAGAAGTTCAAGGGCATGGCTCTGGCTTCTGGTGAGGGCTTTTGCGCTACATCATAACACTGTGGAAAAGGTTAATGGGGAAGTAGACATTAGCAAAGAGAGGGAAACCCTGAGGGCTTTATAACACTGCTTTATAACAACTCACTCTCACGGGAGTTAATCCAGTCTCTCTAGAGACAGGACCAAGCCATTCAGGAGGGATTGGGCTGCATAATTCAAACACCTCCCACTAGGCCCCAACTCCCACCACTGCCACACTAGGGATCAAATTTCAACATGAGCTTTGGTGGGGACAAACGGACCATATGCAAACCACTGCAGCCATTTTCATTTTAACAACATTTATTATAAATCACATTTTATAAACACTAAATTACATACAAAAGCTAGACATAAATATACAGAAGCAAAACAAAAACAGCAGTACTATTAATACAAGAGAAATAAGCTAATATAATGTTTAAACACTATAACAATTACCAATTTTTCACTGCTAGTAATTTTTCATAAATTCAAAAGCTATTCAGAAATGAAATGTAATACATTCTGATTACTATCTAAGTTTGGAATTATGGAAACAACCACCATAGCATTACTTATTTTTTAAAATCGTTTCAAACATTCGGAAGCCAAATTACTGTCCTAAAAGACAAATTAAATGGTAAAACATCTTATCTAACTGAAGAATACAAAATTTTAAGCTTTGTTAACAGATACTAAGTTTAGTGGAAAATTTTAAATTAACATCTCCCTTATATGTTATATTCCTGAGCTGTTGCTCAAATATCATAAAGAACTCAGTTTATAGCTTTGCATAACATTGCATTTTATTTTTGAAAAACAAAAAGTATTATTTTAAATGTGAATAATAGTGTTCAATAATATAATTATAACAGGATGCTGTCCCTTTAATTTAGCTTAACTAAAGGAAAAACTAATGTCCTCTGACCACTATTTGCAAAGATCATTTGAAAATTGTGATCAAAATTATATTAAACCTGTCACCAACTTTTATTTGCACCTTATAAAATCACTGATTTTGTAATTTTGAATGCCCTTATAAAAGAATTGAAATGATGCAGTGCTAATGGTTAGCACAAGGCCAGGCACAGGGTGAGTGCTCAATATTACTGATTAGCCTTTGTCTCTTGCTGCAGCCGGAGCTCCAGATCTGTCTTCTCTGCTCTGTGTCCCCTGCTCCTAGAGGCCCAGCCTTGCAGCCCTGTGACCTGCAGGTATTGGGAGATCCACAGCTAAGACGCTGGGAGCCCCTGGAAGCCTAGAAATGGGACCATTGGAATTTATGGATGTGTCCATAGAATTCTCTCCAGAGGAGTGGCATTGCCTGGACGCTGCACAGTGGAATCTGTATAGGGATGTGAAGTTGGAGAACTACAGAAACCTGGTCTTCCTTGATATTGCTTTTTCTAAGCCAGACGGAGAAAACCTTTGACTGTGAAGAGACATGAGATGATTGCCACACCCCCAGGTATGTCTTCTCATTTTGCCCAAGACCTTTTGCCAGAGCACAGCATGAAAGATTCTTTCCAAAAAATGATACTGAGCAGATATGAAAAATATGGATATGACACTTTAGGGTTAAAAAACATCTGTGAAAGTGTAGATGAGTGTCATGTGCACAAAGCAGGTTATAATGGAATTAACCAAAGTTTGACAATAACCCACAGGAAAATATTTCAATGTGATAAATATATGAAAGTATTTTATGTTTTCAAATTCCAACAGACATAAGACAAGACATATTGCAAAAAAAATTTTCAAATATATAGAATGTGGCAAAGCTATTAACCTGTCCTTAACTCTTACTACACATAAGAAAATTGATACTGGAGAGAAACCCTACAAATGCGAAGAAGGTGGCAAAGCCTTCAACTGGTCCTCACACCTTAGTATACATAAGAAAATTCATACAGGAGAGAGACCCTACAGATGTGAAGAATGTGGCAAAGCCTTTAAGCAGTCCTCAACCCTTTCTACACATAAGATAGATAGTACAGGAGAGAAACCCTATAAATGTGAAGAATGTGGCAAACGCTTTGTACACTCCTCAGCCCTTTCTACAAATAAGAGAACTCATACAGGAGAGAAACCCTATAAATGTGAAGAATGTGGCAAACGCTTTGCATGCTCCTCACACCTTTCTAGACATAAGAGAGTTCATACAGGAGGAAACCCTATAAAGGTGAAGAAAGTGGCAAACGCTTTGCACACTCCTCACACCTTTCTAGACATAAGAGAGTTCATACAGGAGAGAAACCCTATGTGAAGAATGTGGCAAACGCTTTGCACGCTCCTCACACCTTTCTAGACATAAGAGAGTTCATACAGGAGAGAAACCCAATAAATGTGAAGAATGTGGCAAACGCTTTCCACACTCCTCACACCTTTCTAGACATAAGAGAATTCATGCAGGAGAGAAACCCTATAAATGTGAAGAATGTGGCAAAGCGTTTAAGCAGTTCTCAAACCTTTCTAGACATAAGAGAATTCATGCAGGAGAGAAACCCTATAAATGTGAAGAATGTGTCAAACGCTTTGCACGCTCCTCACACCTTTCTAGACATAAGAGAGTTCATACAGGAGAGAAACCCTATAAATGTGAAGAATGTGGCAAAGCCTTTAAGCAGTTTTCAAACCTTTCTAGACATAAGAGAATTCATGCAGGAGAGAAACCCTATAAATGTGAAGAATGTGGCAAACGCTTTGCACGCTCCTCACACCTTTCTAGACATAAGAGAGTTCATACAGGAGAGAAACCCTATAAATGTGAAGAATGTGGCAAACGCTTTGCACACTCCTCACACCTTTCTAGACATAAGAGAGTTCATACAGGAGAGAAACCCAATAAATGTGAAGAATGTGGCAAACGCTTTCCACACTCCTCACACCTTTGTAGACATAAGAGAATTCATGCAGGAGAGAAACCCTATAAATGTGAAGAATGTGGCAAAGCCTTTAAGCAGTTCTCAAACGTTTCTAGACATAAGAGAATTCATGCAGGAGAGAAACCCTATAAAGGTGAAGAATGTGGCAAACGCTTTCCACACTCCTTACACCTTTCTAGACATAAGAGAATTCATGCAGGAGAGAAACCCTATAAATGTGAAGAATGTGGCAAACGCTTTCCACACTCCTCACACCTTTCTAGACATAAGAGAATTCATACCGGAGAGAAACCCTATAAATGTGAAGAATGTGGCAAACGCTTTGCACGCTCCTCACACCTTTCTAGACATAAGAGAATTCATGCAGGAGAGAAACCCTATAAATGTGAAGAATGTGGCAAACGCTTTGCACGCTCCTCACACCTTTCTAGACATAAGAGAATTCATACCGGAGAGAAACCCTATAAATGTGAAGAATGTGGCAAACGCTTTGCACGCTCCTCACACCTTTCTAGACATAAGAGAGTTCATACAGGAGAGAAACCCTATAAAGGTGAAGAATGTGGCAAACGCTTTCCACACTCCTCACACCTTTCTAGACATAAGAGAATTCATGCAGGAGAGAAACCCTATAAATGTGAAGAATGTGGCAAACGCTTTGCACGCTCCTCACACCTTTCTAGACGTAAGAGAATTCATACCGGAGAGAAACCCTATAAATGTGAAGAATGTGGCAAACGCTTCACACGCTCCTCACACCTTTCTAGACATAAGAGAATTCATGCAGGAGAGAAACCCTATAAATGTGAAGAATGTGGCAAAGCATTTAAGCAGTTCTCAAACCTTTCTAGACATAAGAGAATTCATGCAGGAGAGAAACCTTATAAATGTGAAGAATGTGGCAAATGCTTTGCACATTCCTTAACCCTTTCTACACATAAGATAATTCATACTGGAGAAAAACCCTACAAATGTGAAGAATGTGGCAAAGCCTTTAAACAGTCCTATAACCTTACTATACATAACAAATTTCATCCTGGAGAAAAGCCCTACAGATGTAAAATATGTGGAAAAGATAGCCTCACACCTTAGTAGACATAAGAAAATTCATACTGGAGAGAAACCCTACAGATGTGAAGAATGTGGCAAAGCTTTTACCCGACCTGCAACCCTCACTACACATAAGAAAATTCACACTGGAGAGAAACCATAAAGATGAGAAGAATGTGGGAAAAACTTTCCCTTGTTCTCTAGCCTCAGTAGACATAAGGTAATTCATACTGGAGAGTAACCCTATGAATATACTGAATGTAGGAAAGCCTGTAACCAGCTCTCAACTCTTCCTACATCTGAGAAGTTATGTGGAACACAAAACCTACAAATATAAAGAATGTGATAAAATTTTCAAGAAAGTTCTCAGCCTTTATCACACATAATTTATGCTGGATGGAAGGCCTATAAGTGTGAAGAATGTGGCCAACCCTATAACAAGTTCTCTTTTTCCTTTTTGAGAGAGAGTTTTCACTCTCATCATCCAGCACGAAGTGCAATGGCAAAATTTCTGCTTGCTGCCACCTCTGCCTTCTGGGTTGAAGCTGTTCTCTTGCCTCAGCCTCTCTAGTACCTAGGATTACAGGTGCCGACAACCACGCCCTGCTAATTTGTATATTTTTAGTACAGATGGGGTTTTGCCATGTTTTCCAGATGAGTCTCAAACTTCTGACCTCGGGTGATCCACCTACCTCGGCCTCCTGAAGTGCTAGGATTACAGGTGTGGCCTACCACACCTAGCCACAAGTTCTCAATTCTTAAGAGACATGGCATGTTGGGATTCACTCAGGGTGGTGGCAGAGATATTAAGTGAGAATATTAGAAATAGTTATAGCCACAAACTTCCTTGGAAGACAGAGAGGTTCGCATAAGTTTCAGAAAGTTCCTGCCAAAGGCAACCAAAATCCTTTTTACATTTAGTTATAAGAAAAGCAAACAGCTAGGGAATGCAAGGTAGTTTATCTGTATAGTTTGTTTACTCAATTAACCTTTGATCAGCCTCTTGAGTAGCTGGGAACACAGGCGCGTGCCAGCACGCCCGGGCCGCCACACCTGGCTACTTTGTGTGTGTGTGTGTGTGTATTTTTAGTAGAGACTGGGTTTCACCATATTGGCCAGGATGGTCTCTATCTCTTGATCTTGTGATCTGCACACATTGGCCTCCCAAAGTGCTGGGATTACAGGTGTGAGCCACCACACCCTGCCTTTATTGAATTTATTAATGTAAAATTTTATGGTGTATGTTTTAGATGCTCCCCAGAAACTGCCTGTGAGAGCACAGGCAACTTTGTATACAGAAATAACATTCTTGAGCACAATAAAAGCTCTCTTCAAACAAACAAAAATAATAATCATAATAATTATTATTTTTAAATATGAGGTTTCATCTTGTTGGCCAGGCTGGTCTTGAACTCCTGAGCTCAGGTGATCCACCCACCTTGGCCTCTGAAACTGCTAGGATTACAGGCATGAGCCACCATGCCCAACCTTATTTTTAACACTTATTTTAATAAAAATTTAAGAAAAAAAAATTACTGATTAAAGTGAAAATCTTTTAATGTATTATTTCTGCACCTTAACATGCAATTCAATGTAGTAGTTATTAATTAACCCAAAAGTATCCAAAAACATTTTAAACATGGAAATACATTTTTAGTAACAATCATAGGAATGTTTACAAGTGGTTATTTTCAGTCTTAGTTTTATCAAAATAGAATTAAATTTCAGATTCCTTTTAAAAATAGGCCTATGAGGGAAAGGATTCCCTGTTTAATAAATGGTGCTGGGAAAACTGGCTAGCCATGTGCAGAAAGCGGAAACTGGACCCCTTCCTGACATCTTACACTAAAATTAACTCCAGATGGATTAAAGACTTAAACATAAGACCTAACACCATAAAAACCCTAGAAGAAAATCTAGGCAAAACCATTCAGGACATAGGCATAGGCAAGGACTTCATGACTAAAACACCAAAAGCATTGGCAACAAAAGCCAAGATAGACAAATGGGACCTAATTAAACTCCAGAGCTTCTGTACAGCAAGAGAAACAGTCATCAGAGTGAATTGGCAACCAACAGAATGGGAAAAAATTTTTGCAATCTACGCATCTGACAAAGGGCTAATATCCAGAATCCACAAAGAACTAAAACAGATTTACAAGAAAAAAACAAGCCCATTCAAAAGTGGGCAAAGGAAATGAACAGACACTTTACAAAAGAAGACATATATGAGGACCACAAACATATGAAAAAATGCTCATCATCACTGATCATTAGAGAAATGCAAATCAAAACTACATTGAGATGCCATTTCATGCCAGTCAGAATGGCGATCATTAAAAACTCTGGAGACAACAGATGCTGGAGAGGATGTGGAGAAATAGGAACACTTTTACACTGTTGGTGGGAGTGTACATTAGTTCAACCATTGTGGAAGACAGTGTGGCGATTCCTCAAGGACCTAGAAATAGAAATTCCATTTGACCCAGCAATCCCATTACTGGGTATATATCCAAAGGATTATAAATCGTTCTACTATAAGGACACATGCACACGAGTGTTCATTGCAGCACTGTTTACAATAGCAAAGACTTAGAACCAACCCAAATGCTCATCGATGATAGATTGGACAGGGAAAATGTGGCACATACACACCATGGAATACTATGCAGCCATAAAAAACGATGAGTTCGTGTCCTTTGTAGGGACATGGATGAACCTGGAAACATCATTCTCAGCAAACTGACACAAGAACAGAAAAATCAAACACCGCATGTTCTCACTCATAGGCGGGTGTTGAACAATGAGAACACATGGACACAGGGAGGGGAGCATCAAACACTGGGGTCTGTCAGGGGGAAACAGGGGAGGGCCAGCAGGGGGTGGGGAGTTGGGGAGAGATGGCATGGGGAGAAATGCCAGATATAGGTGATGGGGAGGAAGGCAGCAAATCACACTGCCATGTGTGTAGCTATGCAACAATCTTGCATGTTCTTCACATGTACCCCAAAACCTAAAATGCAATAAAAAAAATAGGCCTATGAAAGCTGATTTCCTAATAGCTCCTATATGTGATGTGGATGGCAGATTCAGTGCCTTCTCATAAGATCAACCTATCAACATCTCTTGAACCAATTACTTTAGATTACAACATACCACTTAAAACAGAGTTTCCCCTGAAGACTGAATCCGTGCAGCTGAGGATTGGGTCCAAGAATGTGAATTTTTAAACAAGTAGCTCTCTTCTGCTTCCTCGTAAATTATCACGATCAGGTAGATTTGGGAAATAATGCTTTAAAGTAACCAAAATAAGTTTATACTTGAACATTACTTGATATGAATGGCGTATCTAATAAAAAATCAAATGTATCAAGCTTTTGATTTTTTTTTTTTTTTTTTTTGAGATGGAGTCTCGCTCTGTCACCTAGGCTGGAGTGCAATGGCACGACCTCAGCTCACTGCAACCTCCGCTTCCTGGCCTCCCAGGTTTAAGCAATTCTCCTGCCTCAGCCTCCCAAGTAACTAGGATTACAGGTTTATGTCACCACATCCAGCTAATTTTTTTTTTTTTTTTTTTTTTGTATTTTAGTAGAGACGGGATTTGACCATGTAGCACAGGCTGGTCTCCAACTCCTGGCTCAGGCAACCTACCCGTCTCAGCCTCCCACAGTGCTAGGATTACAGGTGTGAGCCACTATGCCTAGCCTGTATCAAGCTTTTTAATAATCTGCATAGCTTATCATCATGCCTATTTCTTACCTAAAAGTCACAAGGTTTTGTTCTAGTTCTCTTGATAGCCCACAAGAGCTAATAAGTTATCACCTTTTTGAAAACTGCTGGTGATTGGGCTTCTATAATTTTAGTATTGCATACACCTTTTCGTACGAGGAAGCAGAAGAGTCATATAGCAGTTGTATTAAAAAAACTATAAACAATGTGGAATTTATTCAAATAATCACACTGTTTACAAAGTAGTTTTTAAATAGCTATACCAACATCTGTTAGTAGAGTTGCTTGCAAAGCTGGTTATCAAGTGCTTATTTCTTTAAAAAATTCAATTTACAAAGTATTATGTCAACTCCACGTACAAAATCTCATTTGCCATATAACGCAGTGAAGAAGCATTTATATAACTGTCATATGTATACATAAAAAATGTGCATAGGTTCATTCCAATTGATCAACTAGTAACAAATCCCTCTAAATTGAAAAACGTAAAATAAGCAATGAAATGCAGTCTCAAAAAAAATATCATGGAGCACTGAGGAAAGTTTAAATTATTAGAGATTTGAAAGGACATTTAAGTAGGATTAAAACAATAAACTATTAGCTACCTCTACTTTCTAATAAGAATATCATATGCAGAGAAACAAAATTGCAAGCTTATTAAAGTGGGTTAAATAGCTTTTAAGCTGATTAAAACTACTTAATTTAAAATGAATTATTTTTGAACCTCAAGTAAATGATGTAATATTCAACAATTTATTAAAAAATAAACTTCAACAGTTTTAGCATTAGTAAAAACCATTGCTAATACACAAAAGTATATTATCAAATTCTATATTCACAAGTTGGGAAAGGCTTAATACCAAGTCCTGGTTCCACATTGCACTTCATATTCCCATCTGTATATCAGCGAAGTTGTAGAAGCTGTCCACATCTCCAGATGCCGTCTCTTTGCTTTCTGATACAAACATCTATTTTAAACAGAAAATAAAAATAAAAAGTAAGTACCAAGTACTTCAGAATGCCAAAGCCCATGTTCTCCACAGAACAAAGTCCCAAGCTAATTATTCAGAAGAAGTTCAAGCACATCATTTATAATGACAATATTTAATCTGTAGATTTTCTTTAGAATTCATGTAATACAGTTTGAATAGCTATAATGTAAATTAAGCTCTTTTGGAAGCACTTATATAATTAAAGTCTCTGCTTTCATAATACGCGAGTTGTATTTTATTATATCTGGACTTTTACAACACTCAGTATTATGAAAGCTACTGAAAAACTTAAAAAACTCTTAGTTTCGCCGGGTGCGGTGGTTCACGCCTATAATGGCAGCACTTTGGTAGGCTGAGGCAGATGGATCCCCTGAGGTAGAGTTTGAGACCAGCCTGACAAGCATGGATAAACCCTGTCTCTACTAAAAATAGCTTGAACCCAGGAGGCGGAGGTTGCGGTGAGCCGAGATTGTGCCATTGCACTCCAGCCTAGGCAACAAGAGCAAAACTCCATCTCAAAAAAAAAAAAAACAAACAAAAAACACACCTTAGTTTCTTCTGTTTTCTAATAATAATCTCAGTAGTCTCAGCAGCAAAATTTGAGATTATCCTTTTCAAAGCTGCTAATATATTACTATTTATTTTATTTTTTTATTTTTGAGACAGAGGCTTGCTCTGTTGCCCAGGCTGGAGTACAGTGGTGCAATCGTGGCTTACTTCAGCCTAGACTTCTGGACTCAAGTGATCCTCCTACCTCAGCCTACCACGTAACTAGGACTACAGGTGCGTGCCACCATGCCTAGCTATTTTTTTTTTTTTTTTTTTACTTTTTGTAGAGATAGTCTCACTGTGTTGCACAGGCTGGTCTTGAACTTAAACTCCTGGGCTCAAGCAATCTTCCTGCTTCAGCCTCTGAAAGTGCTGGGATTACAGGTGTGAGCCACCACACCCAGCCTGCTATTTTTAAATAAACTAGTTGCTAAACTTTTTTTTTTTTTTTTTTGAGACAGAGTCTCGCTCTGTTGCCCAGGCTGGAGTGCAATGGTGCAATCTCGGCTCACTGCAACCTCTGCCTCCTAGGATCAAGCAATTCTTCCTGCCTCAGTCTCCCGAGTAGCTGGGATTACAGGCGCCTACCACCATGCCTGGCTACTTTTTGTATTTTTAGTAGAGACAGGGTTTCGCCATGTTAGCCAGGCTGGTTTTGAACTTCCAACCTCAGGTGATCTGCTTGCCTTGGCCTCCCAAAGTGCTGGGATTACAGGCATGAGCCACCTCACCTGGCCTTTGCTAAACATTAATGAAGCAATACTCAATAGAACCCTTCTAAAGTAGCGTTTACAAATGTCAGCAAGGAATTAGAGCAGCCGTGGGTTCTATTCTAGCTTAACCATAAACTAGTATATGATGCTGACAATTTGATAAACCTCTGTGGGCTCAGTAACTACACCTGTAAAATGAGACAGCTGGATTAGATAATCACTAAATCATTCACCTCTAAAAGTCCAAATTATAACCATTTTATCTCTGTTGCCTTTTCTAGTCAATCTTCTATTTTCTCTCCCTTAGTACTATTGTGATAAAATGTGATCAAAGAAAAAGTACTTTAATTTTTGTAAATTCAAGGGATCATAAGCCAAATCAGATGACAAAACCAAAATGTCCTCCCAGATATTTATCAAAAAGTAGTCAATTATAGATTTGCTAATGTAATCCTCTACATTTGGTTTTAAAGTTATTTATATCTGAAATTCTTAGATATAGCAACTTCATCAATATATTTAGAAAATGCTCATGTGATAATTTCTATATATACCTGAAGTTCAATATTTGGTGAAGCATTACTGAAGCAAGTAAAAATGAACCCTGGGCAACAGGATCATCCATCTCAACACTACAATATTAGAAATAAAATATTTTCAACAAATCAGTATTTTTAAAAATGCAAAGACTTGAAAAGACATTTGATGAGACTTTTTACTTTAGAAACTTATATGCTATAGGTTTTTAATAAATTATTTGTAACTATTTTATTTATTTATTTTTTGAGATGGAATTCCACTCTTGCTGCCCAGGCTGGAGTGCAATGGTGTGATCTCAGCTCATAGCAACCTCTGCCTCCTGGGTTCAAGGAATTCTCCTGCCTCAGCCTCCTGAGTAGCTGGGATTACAGGCATGAACCACCATACCCGTCTAATTTTGTATTTTTAGTAGAGACAAGGTTTCTCCATGTTGGTCAGGCTGTCTTGAACTCCTGACCTCTGGTAATCCACCCACCTCAGCCTCCCAAAGTGCTGGGATTACAGGCATGAGCCACCATGCCCAGCCCTGTTTTGTAGCTATTTTAAACAAAGTTTTAGTTTGGCAAGAAAAAAATAATTAGTTCCCAATTATTTATCAAAGGTACTAAAAATCATGATCTGACTTTTAAAAACACACACACACACACACACACACACAACAAAAATTCTAAGCAACATTAGGGACAAAAGTATCACTTGACGGTAAGGAAAAGGAGATGAAATGAAAGGTTAGATTGAAATACAGTCAATAAAATCTTGTACCTTGGTCCCATTGAATGTCTCGTTTACAGTAAGTTGACATCCTTCTACAGCACCATCTCCATTAAACTCCAAAGCAATAACTGGACCTATAAGCAAACCCAAGAAGCATTTTCTTAACACAAATACAAATATATTCTAAATTTAATCTTTTTATTCTTTCCTGAAGAATCTCCAGCATCTTCTTCGAGGGTGAAAGAGAAGGAAGAGGAAAGCAGACAGATGGGACATATCACCTCAGCTGCTTCTTCCTACGCTAATCATAAAACAAATTAACACAGTCTCATAACAAGTAGCTTCAGTACTATTATAGGACTAGTGTCACATTTTTAAAGTGTTGTAAATAGTCTGGCTTTTCTGGTTCTCATTCTTCTATAAAAACCACAGAAATTCTACTCATTTAGGAGTATAAAAATAGTTGATAAAATAGCAAATAAGATCAAAAGCAATCCAAGTCAACATAAGTAGGTTTTGCCAGGCAGCCAGCCTTGCTTCCAACTCTCCTACTTACCAGCCAAGTTCTAGGCCACCAATGATGAAGCTAAGCCAAATAGGAATTGAGGCCAGGCATCAAAAGTAATGACCATCTGAAAGTATTTTCCCTGAATGTGTCTTAAAGCTAAATTCTAGAAACATAGACAAAGTTTTTATTTTTTAAATCCTTTTAATAGAATATTTGTGCCTCCTTTCTCATACATTAATTTGAAAACATTACAAACCTCCTACAGTGATGGAAAAGTCTTAATCTCCAGGAAATTACAAATTTATTGAATGAAGACATAAACCTGTTAAACAAATACAAAACAACATAGAATAATGAAGTACTAAGTAATGAAATACTAGAGTGAATGAATATGAAACTCTAAATTGAATGTAAACATGTGCTACAGGACAAGGCACAAGAATGAGAAAGAAAAGATTATACTACATTGGGTGCCAAGACAACTGAAGGCTTGTGATTTTTTTTTCCTTGGAGGCTTGTGATTTAATACAGGCAACAAATACAGAAAAGGCAGGATATAGCAGTTCCTCGGTATATGTGTAGGATTGGTTCCACTGGATGCTCAAATCGCTTATATATTAATAAAATGGTATAGTATTTGCATATAGCTTATGCACATCCTCCTGTATACTTGATTAAGAATTTATTAAAATTTTTTTCGAGACAGAATCTTACCCTGTTGACCAGGCTGGAGTGCAGTGGCACAATCTCGGCTCACTGCAACCTCTGCCTCCTGGGTTCAGGCAAAATTCTCTTGCCTCAGCCTCCCGAGTAGCTGGGACTATAGGCATGCATCACTGTGCCTGGCTATGTTTTTTTTTTTGAATTTTTAGTTGAGATGGGGTTTCCCCATGTTAGCCAGGCTGATCTTGAACTCCTGACCTCAGGTGATCCTCCCACCTCAGCCTCCCAATGTGCTGGGATTACAGGTGTGAGCCACCGTGCCCGACCTAAAATTTTTTTGAGAGATAGAATCTCACAGCTGGGCACATTGGTTCATGCCTGTAATCCTAGCACTTTGGGAGGCCAAGGCAAGAGGATCACTTAAGCCCTGGAGTTCAAGACCAGCCTAGGCAACAAAGCAAGTCCCCATCTCTACAAAATAATAAAAAATTAGCCTGGTGCAGGGTTGCAGGCCTGTAGTCCCAGCTACTTGAGAGACTGAGATGGGAAGATCACTTGAGCCCAGGAGTTTGAGGTTACAGCAAGCCATGATCATGCCACTGCACTCTAGCCTGGGCAACAGAGTGAGACCATGTCTCAAACAAACAAACAAAAAAGGATATGGGGTCTCACTATGTTGCTCAGTCTGGTCTCAAAATCCTGACTTCAAGCAATCCTATTGCCTTCACTCCTGGCCAGGAGGTCAAGAACATTTTATAATAAAACATCTAACTTTACAAAAGCTTAAAATCTTAAATTTTCATTTAGAAATGTAAATGTAACCTCATGATCTTTTCTTTTCAAAAATACATAGTTTCTAGCAACATCCACTGAAAAAGCCTAAAAGAAATGACAACCCAGTAATACACAGTATCTAACATGCATTTCTAAATATCATTCTAAAATATCATTCACCGCTAAAAATAACTAAGTCATCTTAGAAAAATAGATGATTCCATGTCTGGGCCAAGAAATGGATTAAGATCAACCTGGAATATTTTCTTCAGCCAAAAAGTAATAAAGCTACCAAGGGCCAGTGGGGTTATATCAAAAGGAAACAGAAGCCAGCCTGAAGGGGCTCCCAATGGCCAGAGACATAGTGAGATAGAAGGAATCATGACTCTAATTTATTAAAAAGTACTAAATATATAAAAAGTATATATTTTTATGAGTTCATAATGATACTCAGAAAAGAGAGATCCTCCTTACTAATAGAGGTTTTTAAGGAAAATAAAAAAAGAAGAGAGAAACAAAATTCACTGTATACAAATGGAGGTTGCTAGGGCACCAATTCACTACTCTGAACATTGATGCTTATTTTTCTCTTTATTTATTCTGCTTTTCTGACATGAGCATATTTCAAGTTAACCAAACAGCTCTGGCATACAAGAAGTTCCGTTAACATCTGTTAATAAATGCAGAGGTAATGACAAGATTAGAAAGTAAGTTTGCCAAAAAAAAAAAAAAAAAAAAGAGAGAGAGAAAATATAGAAAATGATCATTTTGCAACTCCTATTAAAATAATTGGTTCAGGCAACAATCATCAGTGGTTTTAGCAACCCACAGAGAAGACTGCAGGAAACTCTACAATAAAAAGATAAGGTCGTCACCATGTGAACCCACCCATTAATCTTAGTATCCCTAAAAGCACAACAATCAAACATTATGTGCCTTCTCAATTAAATAGGAAACAAGGCCATCTATGTATTCCTGCTAAATAAATAAATAAACAAACCTGAATGTAAACAAGGTTTTGATCTAACTTCTAGTCTATAAGAAATGTGGAGGAACGAATGAAACAGCCTCATGAATGCAATAGGACAACTGACCAAGCTTCTTTCCCAAGACAAAGGCAAGAAATAAGAAGTAGGGGGGGAACACCTGTTTTTGATTAAGAGTAACATAAGATTCAAAAAACAACCAAATACAGTAAGTGGATCTATTTTAGATCTGGATCAAATTAACTAAAAACACAAAGAATTATTTTAGTAAGTAGGTAAATTTGCATATGGACTGAGTATTAGAGGATATTAAGGAATTGTTAATTCTGTTATATGTGATAATGCACTGTACTTAAAACATTTTTAAAATAATGAAATATTTAGCGATAAAATGAAAGGATGAATCAATTTGATTAAAATGTTTTAGCAAACAATGAGATTATTGTTTTTTAAGTATGGCAAAAAGTTGATGAAACTGGGTCATGGGTACACATGGGGTCATTGTACTCTCTACTTTTAGTACATTTGGAAATTTGCGAAAAGAGTTCAAAAAGTATTTTAAACCAAATAGATATTGAACTAAAAAGAAAAAGTTAATAAATGTAGGGTTTCCAGTTTTGCAAAATAGAAAGTTTGAATTAAGGTAGAATATACTTTCATCACTACAAGGAAATACAGTGTGCGTGTGTGTATTTAAGTTAGACATTAATTATTAAAAGTTCCAGTCTTTCTATAAAGAACATGTAATCTAGAATTCAGAAATACAATCTTGGTAGAATTACTCAGGTATATAACTTGATTGATGTTCTTTGACTAGAATATGATAAACTTGCAAAAAATGACCTATTAATTTTCCAGCCAAAAAGTGGACAAGTACATTCATTTTGATTAACGTGTGGATAATCTTAGATTTAAAAAGACTACAAGGTTTGTCTTATATGCTTGGCATAGATTTGCAACTCAGTAGTACATGGTGTTCCTAGAACGCAGCTGAAGACCTGGTATGCAGAGGAAATATGAGGGGTGGTGCTAGAAGACAGACATCTGTGGAATGACTCACATCCTCTCAAGTTAGGAGGATGGAGGCCTGCTTCATTAAGAAGCTGGGGGTCAGGTGGGGGTGGGGAGACCACTTAACAACATGGGGACCAGTGAGGGGAATCCTCTTATTTCTGCTTTGCATATGAGGAACCTAGAGCAGCCAGGTGTGGCTCTCTAGTTTAATAGAAATCATGGAAAGAGTCTTATGAAGACTCTTTGTACGTGTTAATAGGGATTTTATCAGCTTATTTTGGTTGCAGTTTCCAATTTTTAAAAATGTTTAGGTAATCTTTTCCACCTCTCCAAATCCTAATTCTTACAGATTCATTAGTGTTGAACTAATACTTTCTCATGTCTCAATTCTTTGTTTATGCATTCTTTTCAGATGTATTAAACAAAAACCCTTAAAAAAAAACCTACAGTGTTAACAATGCACTTGCTAAGCACTCCTTCTATCTAATGATGATGACAATTGCTGTGATTATTTCAAACTGAACTATGAGGTCAACAAGGATTACTGGTCATGTTTTTAGTGTTTTAGTATGTACATCTTATTCAGATAGTTCATAGTAGCTTTAGATCTAAATATTTCAGGTGTCATGAAAAATTGTGAGACTCTGAGGTAGACAAAAAACATTTCTGGATGTCTTATCTAGTGAACACTTCTGAGTTATCTAACATGACCTTGGAACAGGCCACTATGTCTCAATTTGATTACTGCAATAGCCTCCCAGCTTGTCTCTGCTTCCCCATTAAAGCAGCCAGTGACAGGGTTTACATTTTAAAAGGAGCATGGCATTCCTGTGCCCTAAAATTGCCTATAAAGTGTGATCTATATTTTTATTTTTAATTGCTCTAAAAATAACTGACAGTTCAGGCTAGGCACAGTGGCTCACCCCTGTAATCCCAGAACCTTGGGAGGCTGAAGCAGGCAGATTGCTTTAGCCCAGGAGTTTTTGACCAGCCTAGACAACATGGAAAGCCTCATCTCTACAAAAAAAAAAAAAAAAAAAAAAAGAAAAAAAAAAGAAAGAAAGAAAAATTAGCCAGTAGCAGCAGTGCATGTCTGTAGTTCCAGCTACTCAGGAGGCTGAAGTAGGAGAATCATCTGAGCTCTGGAGGTTGAGGCTGCAGTGAGCCGAGATCAAGCCACTGCACTCCA